GGAATGCATAAAGTAATAAAATGTATATCTTGAATACAATTCAAGCTGCTTTAAATAAAAGCTTGTACTGAAGGGCATAAATGTAAATACAGAATGAGAGTTGCCAATAATGACTGAAATCAAAATACATTTAGTTGAGATGCATACAGACATGAGTTTATGATTAAAACAAGAACAAATATCTGCATATGATCTGGTCTTGTTTTAAGCATAAACTCACTTCATTTCTATTTATAATAGTTTTTGTTGATATTCTGAATTAGATTTAGTTTTTATATCTCTGATTTTATGTGGACTGATATAAACCCGTGAACTCGGACTACAGGAGATGAAAATGCATCAGAGGTGAAGGTCAGAAACAGATCTTGCTATGTGTTCGTACCTGGTTTTCAGGAGTCAAGTGTGGAGCGGAGCTCTGGTTCCTCGACAGCTGCTGATGATAGTGATTCATGTGTTGATTCTGCTGATTGTTATTCGACATTTCTGCCATTCGCCGCTCCATCTGCTCCAAACGCTCCAGAATCGACATCCTGAACTGGTTATCTAGAGAGAACGAGAGACGGTCAACATTAAAGAACCTGATTCACTGCCGTAATGTGATGCAAAATGAGGACCTCAGATGATGCCAACCCTGAAACAACATACAGAACCACCACTGACAGTCACCACTGATAAGCTACTCCTAAACATATTGTAGAAACTTAATTTGCTGTAAAGTTGCTTTGCAATGATTTGTATCGTGAAAAGCTCTATACAAATAAACTTGAATTGAATTGTGAAAAAAAAATAAGAAGAATTGCATGAGAAAAAAAGAAACACTGGGGAAAAAAACTGGTGTAAAAACAATTCTCACTCATAAAATGATAGTAAATCTCACAATTACCAAGAAAAAGCAAGTAACAGTGAATTAAATAGAATTTTCAAGTAGAAAGGCTGAAATAGTATTATCTTGTAAAACATACTCTAATAATATTGTTGTTGTGTTTTCGTCATTTTTAATATGTCTACATGGTTTTTATTAAGCTTTAGTTTATTTAGTTTTACTTGTTTTAGTACTTCAACTTAAATTAAATGAAAATGAGAAATGTTGCCTTGGCCACTAAAAAAAATTTTTTTTTAGAGTTTATATTTTATTTCAACTTACAATGAAAACAATTTGGTGCCGATTTTCAATTCATAAATCCCTAGCAAATTTCACAAATAATTACTAAAAAAAAAGACAAGTAGCACATGGAATGAACTATCGAACGAACATGTCTATGTAGTTATTATAAAGTTTTAGTTTTTATTTAATTTAGTTTTAGTTATTTTAGTACTCACACAAAACAAAAATGAGAAATGCTGTCGTGGCAAGTAGTTGAAATAAAATAATTTTAAGTTTAACTTACAGTAAAAAAAAAAAAAGTTCAGCCATAAATTTCAAAAATAATTAAGTGTGAAATTTTGAAGTAGAAAGACTGAAATAGTATTATCTTGTAAAACATACTGTAATCTTGTTGTGCGTTTGTCATTTTTATTAGTTATTTATTAAGTTTTAGATTTAGTTTATTTGGTTTTAATTATTTTAGTACGGCAACAAACTAAATAAAAATGAGAAATGTTGTCTTGGCAACTCGCTGAAATAAAATCAGCTTTTTATATTTTATTTTATTTCAACGTACACTAAAAACATTGGTGTATAAACATATATGAATATGTCCTCTACTACTTTACTCTCTATTCCATTTTGTCTCTGGAACTGCCAGTCTGCTGTAAACAAAGCAGAATTTATTTCTTCTATTGCTACTCATTCCGGTCTCAATCTAATGGCCCTAACTGAGACTTGGATCAAACCCGAACAAAACTTTCTCATCTCTGTCCTCCTCCCCCTCCTCCTTCATCAACTCTTACAGCTGATGACTTTGCAATATTCTTCATAAATAAAACAAGAACCATCAGCAACCAATTATCCACACCACAAACTGATGATAACTTCATAATGACAAATACACACTCTCTCTCCTCCTCCTCTCCAATCTCGGAGACAGACGTTTCCAAACTTATCCTTTCCAATCATCCTACTACCTGTCCACTTGATCCTATCCCCACTCACCTCCTTCAGGCCATTTCTTCTTCAGCTATACCTGCGCTTACTCACATTATCAACACCTCTCTTCGCACTGGTACATTTCCCACAGCATTCAAGCAGGCTCGGGTAACCCCACTGCTTAAGAAACCCTCTCTAAAGCCAGCACATTTAGAAAACTACAGACCGGTATCCCTTCTTCCATTCATTGCAAAGACACTTGAGCGAGTTGTGTTCAACCAACTCTCTATGTTTCTTGCACAGAGCAACCCCATGGACAGCAACCAATCTGGCTTCAAAAGCGGCCACTCAACTGAGACTGCACTGCTCTCGGTTACTGAAGCCCTGAGACTGGCAAGAGCAGCTTCCACATCCTCAGTACTCCTCTTGCTGGATCTGTCTGCTGCTTTTGACACAGCTAACCACCAGATCCTCCTGTCCACCCTCATGAAGATGGGCATCTCAGGAACCGCACTCCAGTGGTTCAAGTCTTACCTCTTTGGTAGGTCCTTCAGGGTGTCCTGGAGAGGTGAGGTTTCTAAGTCACAACTTCTTGCTACTGGGGTTCCTCAAGGCTCAGTGCTTGGACCACTTCTCTTCTTCATCTACATGTCGTCATTAGGATCTTTTATTCAGAAGCATGGCTTTTCTTATCACTGCTATGCTGATGACACTCAACGCTACTTCTCATTCCAACCAGATGATCCGACGGTAGCTGTTCGCATTGCAGCCTGTCTGAGAGACATTTCTGGCTGGATGAAGGACCATCACCTTCAACTCAACCTTACTAAGACAGAACTGCCAATGGCCCGGTCCTGCAGATTTGCCTTATACAATATCAGGAAGATTAGACCCTTCCTATCAGAGAAGGCCGCACAACTCCTTGTCCAAGCTCTTGTTCTCTCCAGACTGGACTATTGTAATGCTCTCTTGGTGGGCCTTCCTGCATGCACTATCAAGCCTCTGCAACTGATCCAGAATGCAGCAGTGAGAGTGGTCTTTAACGAGTCGAAAAAAGTTGACGTTGCACCTCTCCTCATCAGGTTACACTGGCTACCAGTAGCCGCTCGCATCAAATTCAAGGGACTGATGCTTGCCTACAAGACAACCACTGGTGCCGCACTAATATACCTAAACTCACTAGTTCAAACTTATGCGCCCTCCAGAAGCTTGCGTTCTGCAAGTGAACGTCGCCTCGTGGTACCATCCCAAAGAGGCTCAAAATCACTCTCACTGACCTTTTCCTGAACTGTTCCCAGCTGCTGGAATGACCTCCCAATCTCAATAAAAAATGTCTAAAGACACATCTTTTTTTGTCAGCACCTGACGAACTAATACTAGCACTTACCTATTCTATTCTATTCTATTAAAAAAAAACTAGCTATGTGTACTGTGCTAGACTGAGACTTGTCACAGCACTTGCATACTGTTGCTCTCTCATTCGTCTGATTGCTTCTATTGTTCTCCTCATTTGTAAGTCACTTTGGAAAAAAGCATCTGTTAAATGATTAAATGTAAATGTATATACATACATATTACATATATATGTAACTTTTTATTGCAATGTACCATATCAGCAAACATTATTTTCCCTAAACAGGAACTTTATTACATTGACCTGCAAGAAAGACATTTGTAAAACATGCTTTACCTTAAAATAAGCTTTGGATGATAAGATGTATGTTTTATCACGCAGGAAACTTGGCGGAAGAACGTAACGGAACCGACAGCATGAAAATAATTTACAGATCTCGATTCACAACGCTATTCGTTCTTAAAACTAATTCTAATATTTACTTTCACAGACACAAAGCAGACGTGTGTGTGGATGTGTTTAGTGCTTGATTTACAGTGTGTGTGGATGTGTTGACAGCTCAACACACACACACACACACACACACACACACACACACAGTAATCTCTACGGTGAACCTCCAAACACACAGAGAGCAGTTTTAACACGCAGTCCGTCCTACCTACACCATCCATGTGTCTCTGCGCCATCGTTCAGACGATCCGATAAAAACAGCGAATCAGAAAAAGCACAACTCCATGTCTGTCTCTCTCTCTCTCGGTCAGGAGTGAGACATGTTCAAAAATATAAGTACAGAAGTATAAAAAACTTTGAGTACAAACACACTTAAAACACGGCCAGACAATCAGAGAAGGGCAGATGCATTCGATCACAGAATGACACAGGAGAGAGAGAGACAGGTGAAGAAAAAGAAAGTATTCCACACGGACTGGAGGAAAAGCGCAAACGTCCTGCTGGATCCCGACAGACGTCTGTCCTGGAGCGGGGAAAGTCCAGAATGAGACGAGAGAGAGAGATGCAGCGGAGCTTATATTACTGAGGCCGCAGACGGACGGAGAGAGAGACAGACACGAGGCTGCCCCGTACACATGGATTTAAATAGGCTTTCACTGAGCGGCAGAAATAGAAACTGGCTGATATCCACACTGAAGCGCAGAAACACACACACAGACAAACACAGCAATCCTTCAGCACTATCAGTGATTCAGCACAATCACAACTTGTTTCCAGAAAGACATGCTTTGCTTTGCTTTTCTGACTGATGTTCATGACTCTGTAATAGGGGTGTGCGATATTGACAAAAAATAATATCTCGATATTTTATGGGATTTTATCGATAACGATAATTAGACGATATTTTGCTGAGTGTGTTATTGTGCTGGTACCTTAAGGACTGCCGAAGACAGCTGACTCCTAATGTTTTTAATATTCTTCATATTCTGTGTGGTGGTCAGTTCACACTGGTAGAAATTAATCTTTTCCAATAAGTTTTTAACTGATTTTTGCATTTTATGGGCATTTTTACCTTTAAAAAGCCATTTTTTCTAAAAGTGTCCATTATCTTTTAAGTCAAATTCTTACATTTAATCAGGGAATTAGAATAATAAGACATTTGGGCTGTTACCGAGCAAATTAAATCAGCACAGAAGCTGCATCTGAAGCTGCATTTAGATGTATTTACACGCATGTATTTTGTTTAATGCAAGACATGAATGCATTTAACCTGCAATTACAAATGCATAAATAATGTTTTGATATATTAAACATAAAACGTTGAATACCGATATTTGAAATGATTTAAAACATGAAAAAAAAGAAAAAGCCGAAATGTGAACGTGCCTTTTACACACTATTAACTTCCCATCTTTGACCAGTGCAGGGTTATACTATTATTATTTTAGTAATTCATATTTTTGTTTTCTCTTTCCGTTTTTATTTTCATTTGAGTTTAAGCTTATGTTTATATATTCACAGTTTTATTTTAATTTAAGTTTAAGTAATTTTATTATGTGCTTTTGACATTTTTATTCGTTTTTTTAATATATTTTTTATTTCGCTTTCATTTTTATTTCATTTTAGTAGTTTTAGTACATAAACTTAAATAGCTTTCATAAAACTAACTTAAAACGCTGAAGTTTTTCATCTAATATTTCGAATTTAAATTATTTCTGCATTATTTCAATTAACAAAATTTTATACGCTTTTGAAATATTATTAGTTTAATATTTTTTATTTAGCTTTAATACATTTTTATTTAATTTTAGTAGTTTTAGCACATAAACTGAAATAACTTTCATAAAACTAACTTAAAACGTTGAAGATTTTCATCTAATATTTGAAAATTTATATTATTTCTGCTTTATTTCAATTAACAATACTCGTAGTTGTTGTTAATAATAATAAAAACACTGGAGCAATAGAGTTTCAATGACAGTCACGGATCACGACGTTTAGCTCTTTATTGCTCAGAACAGACTACTGTGATGAAATACTAATAAATCATAAACTACGATTATAAACTAAGACTAATAAAGCCTCTCTGACTGCTGTTCAGCATAATATTCAAAGCTCACTCATAAAGGCTAAGTACGTTTATAAAAAATTACTTAAATGTCCTAATTGAACTATGGCCTAATCCTGGCTTAGTTTAAGCCCTGTCTGTGAAACCAGACCATACTGTTTAAACTTATATAATCGAAATATCTTCATACCTCATAGTTGAATTTATCATAATTAGAACTGGACGATAATTTAATCCCATTTTGCAATCACAGAGCTGATATTTGCTATAAAGTATGTGTTTCTTATGAATATATCCAAATTCATATCAAGTTTACTTCTTTATTTTAATTGTCTTTTTAGTATTTCATTTTAGTTTCATTATTTAAATCATTTTTAAACAGTCGCCCTTCAGAACCACTGAAATCAATACATGTGCCGCTGTCCTGTGCTTTGATTTCACTGTTTTTGTAATATAACACAATAATTTATAAAGCTTTATTTCTTTTGATTACTTCTATATTTCTCAAACGAACGTCATCTTCGGTCACCTGTGATCATGTTTCATCTCTGCGGTTCTGCTCTTACGACCATCATCTCTCTTCTGTTACGAGCACAGATCAAATGATCCAGCCTTTCTCATCTGTGTGTGTGTGTGTGTGAGAGAGTGAGTGTGTGTGTAAGAGTGAGTGAGTGTGTGTGTGAGAGTGAGTGTGTGTGTGTGTGCGTGCGTGTGCGTGAGTGTGTGTGTGTGTGTGTGAGAGAGTGAGCGTGTGTGTGTGTGCGTGTGTGTGTGTAAGAGAGAGAGAGTGTGTGTGTGTGTGTGCGTGAGTGAGTGAGGGAGTGTGTGTGTGTGTGTGTGTGCATGCGTGTTTGTAAGAGAGAGAGAGAGTGTGTGTGTGTGTGTGTGTGCGTGCGTGCGTGAGTGAGTGTGTGAGAGTGAGTGAGTGTGTGCACGCGTGTGTGCGTCAGGGTGTGTGTGG